GGGGGTGGGAAAAGGGAACAGGATTAAGGAGAAAGGGAACAAGGGGATGGGAAAAGGGAACAAGGGGAAGGAAAACGGGAACAAGGGGAAGGGAAAAGGGAACAAGGGGAAGGGAAAAGGGGGACAAAATATTAAGGAAAACGGGAACAAGGGGAAGGGAAAAGGGAACGAGGGGAAGGGAAAATGGAACAAGGGGAAGGGAGAAGGGAATAGGATTAAGGAAAAAGGGAACAAGGGGAAGGGAAAAGGGAACAAGAGGAAGGGAAAAGGGAAGATATTATTAAGGGAAAAGGGGAGGAAATTAGGGAAAAAGGAGGAGATATTAAGGAAAAAGGGGAAGAGATGAAGGAAAAAGGGAAGAAAGTGAAGGGAAAAGGGAACAAGGGAAGGGAAAAGGGAAAAAGAAGGGAAAAGGGAAAAAGAAGGGAAAAGGGAACAAGGGGAAGGGAAAAGGGAAGAAGAGGAAGGGAAAAGGGAACAAGGGGAAGGAAAAGGGAACGAGGGGAAGGAAAAGGGGAAGGGAAAAGGGAAAAAGAAGGAAAAAGGGAACAAGGGGAAGGAAAACAGGACCAAGGTGAACTTGGAGTGGGAGCAGAGCAGCCCAAAAGTCCAGGAACGGGAACGCTCGAGCCCCACCCGGTGGGATTTGGGGGAAGAACAGGGATCCAACCGGGATATTCGAGCACCCGGATCATGGATCCCTCCGGAAGTTCTATTCCCAGCGGGAATCCCGCCACATTCCCAAGGCTCACCTGGGTGGGAGGGACGGGAGAAGGTTGGTGGGAGCCGGAGGAGGATTTTTCCAGGGCGTTCAGGCGGCTCTCCAGCTTGAAGATGGCCATTTGCAGGTCGGAAACCACTGGGAAAAAGAGGGAAAAACCGGGAATAACCACTTAATTTTCCAGGATCCGGGCGAGATTCCAAGCCTGGATGAGGATTTTCCCACTCACCGCTGCGGAGGTTTTGGTTTTCCACCTCCAGGTGGGAAATCCGGGCCAGGAGCTCGGTCTGGTCGCCGGCGGCTCCGGAGCTCTGGAAGGAGGAAAACTGGGATGAGGTGGAGTCATTCCCGAAAATTCCACGCGGCAAAGCCCAGGGGGGAGGAGGGAATTGAAGAGGTTGAGCTAAAAACGTGGATATTTTCCCAGGGAATTGAGCTAAAAACGTGGAT